AGGGGTTCCTCGAAGTCGACAAGCATTGAGCTTCGGCGTTCCCATTATCCTTGCCCTCTCGAAGCACCATATAGGAATCGTAGTCTCGCATTTCGAGAGCCCATCGGAGGAGCTCCGGAGACAGGATTGCCTGGCTCTCAAGGAACTTGAGCGATGCTGTCGATGATTACTCGGAACTTCCGGCCGTAGAGGTTTGATACAAACGGAACCTGTGAGCGGCTCAGACGACGGCCAAGCGCTCCGTTTCACAGCGGAGCGACATTTCGATTCGGCTCTCGACAGCCGTCGGCTTCCAAAAGTTAGACCCTCACTTGACATTTCTCCTCCTGTGCCAGCACCGCGCCTAGTCCAATAGCATTGGTATCGGTATGAAGCCGCGTCTTCGGCTAGGTGATCCTCGAAATGACGTGGGACAGGCTATTCCTCTATCCGCATCTCAATCCGCGAGAGCACCTCCTGCTCGGGGTGCTCCTCCGCTCAATGGATGCACCAAGCTCTAGAAAGTCGTAACGAGGCGCCGCGAGTTCAGCGGAATCCGAAATTCGTCGGTGGGCGCGGCTCAGACCTTCTCCAGGTTTGGCGCAATACCTTCCGAAGTGACCTTGTGTCCCTAGTATTTGCCGCGGATAAACACTCTTTCGCTTGCAACTCGAGCCCGGCCTGCTGGATCACTCAATCGCAGGATCGCAAGACTAATTTAGAGTCGGCGAAGTGTCGATCGAAATTTTCGGGATAGCTAATGATAGTATCATCAAGGTAGACGAGCGCCATCAAGGGAGTCAATGAGAATGATCGCGTCGTTCATAAGAGCTTGAAGAGTTTCCGGCGCGCTTGCCAATTCGAAAGGCATCTTATTCGAACAATTTTTGGAGTACAGAACGCCGTTTCCTCCCCCGGCGCTGCGTCCGGCTCGACTTGCCAATAACCGCTCATCAGGTCCAGCGGACTGGAACTTCCTGAGAGAGCTCATCATTATAGACACCGGATAATGGTAAACGCCTCTTTTCGTCTCGATAGTCAGCTTGCGTTGATCTATGCTAACCCGAACGGAACCATATTTTTCTTCGACCAATACGAAGGGAGAGGTTCGTGAACTTGCCGTAGGTTCTATAGTATCGTTGACGAGCATGCTGTCGACATCTTTGGCAATCGTCTGTTTATGGACCCGGGTTGCTAAACGGGCCGAGAGAGTTATCGAAGTTGTATCCCCCGTAGGGAAGGTTTGTCGAGGAAAACTTGATAACAATACACGCAAACCGCGCTTCTTGCAAAGCATCAGTGATCCTACCCGTTAAGTAGCCTATTTTCCATAGTTTCGCTCCCCGCCACAGGAGACCAACCGCGAGTTTCCTCCCGCTGTTTCATGAAACCGAAACTCAGGATCCTCGTTCGATTCTGATTGAAGGACGCTCCCGTGATCCCTCTCTGTCTCCTGGCCGATTGTGAGCTTGAGCTCTCGATCGAGGAGCTCAGACGCTCAGAAAAAACAGTGGCAGGTAATATCTTCGACACTACCGTTCGGCGTGAAAACGTCAGATTCATCCGGTGTTGTTCTGCTGAAAAGGACTGAATAATGTTTTGAACTTGAAATGACTCATTCCTAATCTTGATAAAAATGGGCAATGGTTGGATTGAGATTCCATTCTGGCTTTGGGGTCCGTCTTGACTCGACTAGACGGGTTCAACATTTCTCATAATATATGGAAGTCGCGGTGAAATTATTCTCTCGCACACAGGATCCAATTTGGGCAAGTCTGTGGGTTTCGGTGGGTATGTATATCCATGATTCCACTGAGATTGGGTACTTTCTTATTCCTACAAATTTTGTAGCAATTGTGGCATAATCTGAAACTGACGGCATCTTCGTCCGGGGAATATGGTGCCAAATAATGTGCCATCTGAGAGCTGATCGGCTTCAAATCCCGTACAAACCAGATGCGATCGCAAAGATCGCATTTGTGTCCAAGTTCATTATAGGAATACATGCGACGGAACTGAATGGTGGCACGTTCCCATAATTGAGTGTATGTGAAACATCGTGTCAGCTCAACTTGACCGTCATAAGAATCGTCTCGACTTGGCTGGTCGATCGATGTTGAAATGTCATTTGATTCGTTAACCTTCCTGCGGGCATCGTCAGCTCCAGTACCACATGACACGACCGATGAAGTCTCTCGGCGACGCTTCCGATATTCAGCTGATCTCTCAGCAGAAGTTTCCTCTCTCTTCACTGCCCTGCCCGCTGAAGCTTCCACTCGCCGTATGTTCTACCTCATGCTGGTGGGTTTTGACCGCATCATGGAAGATTCACAATCTCAAATCATCAATGCTGATGACTAATGAAGAATTTTATGTAATGAACTCGACGGATTCCTCCCATAATAACGAAGAACTCTTGAGTAGCACTAGGTGTATATCCCGACCAATCACTCAATTTTGGATGTATGATCTAGAATCTAGAGGTTCGGGATTGAGCGTTCAATTGACACCACTCATGATTCCCTATTATTCCCAGTCATCTCGAGCTCAACTCTTCGCACGAATTTCAAGATGATTCGCGCCATCTGTTCGAATTTCACCTCCTCGCACTCCTCCGCTGCAGAAAGGTGTACTCCCATCGACCAGAGATTCTCGTGGCATGGCGACAGCTCGAAGGGAAAACGATAGTAACGCTGACTAAAGGAGAGAGGGGAACAAATCGGCCCCCATTGCGAAATGTCTCATGTTTCGCATGAATATGTCCTTCCTGTGACCCCCTGAGTCGCAAATACAGCGCGACCGTAGAAGACTGAAAATCCCCTCGAAATCAAACAGTGATTTCGAATCAGAATAAGCTTGAGACATCTCACACAACCTTCATTCATGTCACATTAGAGGCCTCCCAGAGGTGTGCATGAAACGCCTTCGGAAAGTGTCTCAGAAGTCGTGACTCGATACCAAAATAGAACGGTAGTTTATGCCGTAAATTCGCGTTCAAATGAAACCAGCTACAAAGTTCTACGTTCCCAGGTTTCCGAGATCTAAGGCAGAGAAAAGTTACAACATTTGTGACGCAAAGGACGAAGTACCCTCGATCTGTATGGTCGATGAAATTAAAGACGTTTTCACGTCAAAAGTCTCAAAAAAACTATCTATGCGTGAACTTGAATGTGACTAGCTATTCAAAGCACGTTAGCAACGGGCGCGCAGCCGCGAGGCGAGTTGAGTGGTGAAGACACCCAGATTAATTAGAATATTTCCAGGGCTACTGGTCACTTACGCTGTCTCTATTGCTACTATTGCTCACGTGGCTTACAATGAGAATCGTATGATCAATTCATTCAGCAGAGTATTAAGGATGCATGATACACTAACGTGTGAGTCATAACGCGGTTCTACTCTAGTGAAGTGCACAGTTTAGATTAAGATTAAGATAGACTATAAATCACGCCACAGGTCGCTTTCGCAATGAAGAGGAGCTACTGAAGTATCGAGCCTGAACTTGGATGAGGCACGCATTGAAAGAGAGCTGGAACATGAATTTTGGATTAAATGGTCGTCAGTCTTGGCTCAAGGATCTCTCGACAATCCAGCGACCAAGACCGGCAATAGATTTGGATGGAACAATTCAAAAACCTCGACTCACTCAGCCTCTCGGCAGAGGCTGACCTCGTTGATGGAGCGATTCCGAGGGCGCTTCACAAGCCGTCTCGAGATTCCGCAGAGCTCAGAATACTGGGTCGTCCATCGCACCCAGGAGCTCTCCAGGACACCAAATAGAAAAAATAGAAACGGTGCCGAGTCGATGCGTTCTCAGACAGAGAATTCAAGCCCTGGAAATCATTTTTAGCATCCGGAGCAAGAGAAGAAAAACGCCTGAGGCAACGACTGAGTTGAGACTCCATTGGAGAGCACCGCGGACCTTCCTCATTCATAACACATCGGCTGAGTGGTTACAAGGCCAGAAACTGACCGGCTGGACTGATGCCAGTCCGCCCGCAACCGTCGCGATCCTTGCTTTTCTGAGAAACTGTAAAATGGTGACATGGTGAGTACCCTACTACCGCGGCAGGAGGAATATTTTCCAGCCTTACCGCCAATCTATTCATGAACACGGAAATAAATTCAAATCATCGTCAATGTCCGAAGCTCTCCTGTCGCGCCCGAGCGGAGGCTAAACCAGACTCTGCGAAGCAAGTGACGAAGGAAGCATCCCGGTCGGTCGGCCGTTTGACCTGCTGCCTGTATACCAGCTCGTCTGCCTTTCTGCCTGTCAGCGGGAACGGCATCGGCTCAGCGGTGAGCTATGGTCTGGAACCTGCACAGATCATCGGTCGCGTCAGATCTTCACCGCATACCTCAGGATCTGGGTTTTGCTCCGCTTCAACTCTCTTCAGCCCGCAACTCCCTTCAAAGAGAGCACAGTCGCCCGAAAGAACAGACAGAGAGGCGGCTAGGTCGCCGACCGGTGCCCTCCTCGTAGCCTGCTTGCCGAAGATATTTTCTATGGCAAATTCCCCGATTATAGCTGGTTGACGACAGGTGTCTCCTCTGACTGAGAACGCCAGAAGCCTCGTTTACGTACCCTTCACTTGGCTGTGCCGATGCGGTCGCTCAAATGTATGCACCCTGTGGCTTGACACCCGCAAGTCGATTCTTGGAGCTTCGCGGTAACGCCTATTCCTGTATGAAGTCTTGCTGTTCGACTTATGATGTGCTGGAGCCCAAATGACCCACCCGCAATCAAGAAGCGGGACCCCTGTCTCCCCAATCGACAAATATGCTGTCGCCCATTTCACGCTGTTCTCACTACGGCTCGTTTCAGGTGAACCTCGGTACGTTTTTTTCAGATTTTCCGTGTCTCTTCATTCTGCATGCTTCCAATGAAGCTCGGAGTCTGGCTCTAGTTCTCTTTTGAGCCCGTCGAGGTTTTATTTTTTCACCTGAACGAGACTTCGGAGAAATGGCGCGTTCGGAAGAGCTCAGCAGAGTGAGGATCCGGGCAAGAACAACACCGATGATTACCGAATCCTTCCGAATTTATTGTTTTAGATCGACCCTTCGATGATTGATTCAAGTACTTTTGAATGTACGCTCAGGGAGGTTTTCGCCATGAGTGCTTTCAATCGTCATATGTACATTATGAGAAGAGGTTCAAAGCTCCAGATGAGCGAACTTTTCAGAAGCAGAACAGCATAGCTTGCTATAGAGTCGTATCCTCCTTGGGTCGATCGATTCCATCAAGGATCCGACAGCATGTCGGTGGACTCTGGCTCCAAGAAGAGGTGCTGATTGACCGACCGGAGTAGAATTCTCAAGCGGTAGGTTGGGAGGACTTCCACGACGGAGGAATACTCAATCGGCCGGCCTTCTACTGATGACCCGGTTCAAAAGACGGCTCCGTACAGGGAAATATTCCCGGGCAAGCGAAAGCCAAGCGGACTGTCGCCTATTTTCTCGTTGGCTGGATTCCCAAGTTAGCCTACTGTCGGTGAACACCGTGTCTACGCTCCGGACTCAGCCATGATTGCGATTTGTGGCTGGAGTTAGCCTTCCAGGCGCCTCGCTATCAACGACGCCGGTAGTGCCGTGACATTGGCACCCAAGGAGTAGTTTCGAGTTGTGCGAATGCTTGGCTCGACAGATTCCAACCGAAATTGAAGTCCTCCCGCTGCTGATGTCCAGCTATACGTAGACTTGCTGCAGTCTCTCGATCGACGAGTCCAGTAGAAGCTCGCCGGCTTCATTCCCGATTGCAGAATCACCGATTCGTCTCACTGGTGACGGAAAAAAATTGAAGGGGAACCGATAAGTTCGGTTTCTGGACCCCCGATCCGATCGACCGATCTTCGTTGAGGCGAATATCTCACAGAAACAAATCATCTGACTGCTTGAACTAATCACAGAAAGACCAGAACGATATAGTGGAATCGTTGCTGAAATAGCGTTTAGGAGAGTTAGAAGGGCCTTCGCTCCCGGAATGTAAGCGGAGAGCAGCCGGTTAGATGTCTGTTGATTGTCATACGCGTCAACAGCTTATAAGCATACTCCAAACCTACTTGTTCGTCCATACCGACTGTCGAGCAGCAAGACAGCTCTACGAATATATTTCCGAGGGTGAATAGCCTCCCGGGTTAGGCTTCCGTCCAAAGCGTGTGATCGCGGTAGATTAGGTTGTGGAAATCAGGTTGTGGAAATTAAGGTGTGGGAACGGCGCGGCGGTCGCGCCTGCATAGATATTGATTCCCGATGGTGCAATTAAGTGCGCGTCCTATTCCGAAATGGGCAAACGATACGCGATGTCTCCATCTTCATTGCGAAGCTGACTGTCAACGTGCACAGCATAATATTGTCGTCTCCGGTTCCGCTCTGTCTCGTAGGCGTCATGGAGAGACCTATGGATAACGGGCTCCACCAGTAGACTCCGTATATCCAGTTGCTCGCTTTAAACATTCATATATACTACATACTCTCATACATAGGTATTTAAGAACTCGTTAGAAAATTAAAAGATACTAAACGGTATAACTGCTGCCGTTGCTGGCGACTTCAGTGATCCCGCTGAGGTTTGATTGTCACTCCGAATCGGAAAGCGCGCGGCAAAGAGGTGAGAACGTCGATCGCTCGCAGATGAGGTGCGCAAGCCGCGCATCGGAACGCTTTCATTAGCGCTTCCTTTCGACGTGAGTGTATCTTTCTGCTTGCTATTTCGCCCGCGACGACGGCACCCGACAGAAGCACGTAATGAGCATCAAACGATGTAGGGGGACTCATGGAGGATTGGGGGAAATTATCTGAATACGTTCATCTTTCGTTAGTAGATTCGATCATGAATCGTTCGGGGACGACACAGAATACAAATGACTTACGTACGACTCGAACACACGAGTCGAATCTCCCGATTCCGGTGATCTGACGTACCTTCGAAAGCTAGGCGTGTCCAGGAGAGGGAGACCGTGTAGTTCTAGGGGGGATTCACTCCTTTCAAAGGATCGTCGATGGAGATGAGATGGAGATGAAATATCGCGGACGTAATAAATGGACTTCGCTAGCACGTTGAAAATATTTCTCGGGTTCTCGAATCCGACCATCGAGGTAAGGATGAGCCGAGTCGCCGCCATCTAAGTGGGCGTTGTCCTTGGCCTAGCTGGATACGGTTCCTAGGGCACGACGTGCCAAGTACTTGTTCTCGTTGGACCTACGCCGATATGCAGCAGCATTGCAGGGTGGCTGATGGTCGGTCGAACGGAATCTCGAATCTCGCTTGTAGCAGGCGACATGACCAGAGGCGAAGACCGTCGAATCTCATTTGGTCAATGAGCAGTTCCGACTGTGGGAAGATCGAGTCGTCCTAGCTTACTCAATGTCGCTTTCGTGGGAGAATTCCCTTCGGATTCAATTACTCGTTTCTGAACGCATCTACGTCCAAAGCCACGATGGGTTCCTTCCGCAGAATCTGCGATCAAACCAGTGCCGAGTGTTCCAAGGATTTCCAGCGACCTGATGAATTATCAAAACTTCGACCGTGTATCGAGAGGCTTCGCGGCTCCGATGAAGGTTCCCTGGATCAATTCGCATCACATATATCTCGCCTGGTATAGACGTTGCATTAGTTGCCGACGGATTGGTGGAAGACAACTCGGTTTTCTTGGATCTGTTTCACAACTTTCCCTGGAATATTGCCGCGCTCCGGGAATCTTCACAGCATCATCTTCATCATCCGGAGATAGACCGACGATGGAATAAACGACAGGCTTTCGCCTGGACAGGCGACATCGTGCCTCCGAGCAGATGGCAATCCGTTCCTGATCGTGGGCCGTAAATGGCTTTTGCCCGCGCAGGCAACATCGCGGATTTGAGTGAGCAGAATTGGTACGCGTCCCTGAAGGGGTTCAAAGTTCTTTCTGATTCGGCCCGGAAAGCCTGCGATCATTCTTGTTCTTTGGTGTCTATGGGAATCGAAGGATCCTGACGAATCGTCGCAGCGGATTTGTGAACGGAATTCCTGCAGAACGAACTTCTCTTCTTAGAAGTGATTTTCTCCCCGAGCCCATTATGTCTCTCCCACGAATATCATTCACTAGTCACCTTTCCGAGCGATGAAGTTCCCGAATGAGAAGGTTCGAGGATTGAGGATGTGCGATGCGGGGAGGAAGGCAAAAATGCCAAAATCGGACTACAGCACGATCTTCTATTCCGTGTGCTCAGACTTCTCGATTCATGACGAAACGGCCACGCAGCGATAGGAGAGGGACTTCGTAGCGAAGAGGCTCTCACGGAAGGGCTTCTCACAGCTCCGACGCTGGGGATTTCCAGGGAGCAGGTGTAGCGCATTTGCCCAGGGGACAAATCGTAGTTCGCAGACGACCTGTGCGGGGAGATAAGAACCCAAACTGCCCGCCCTCCCAGCTCAAAAGCCAACCTGATGTCCGCAATTCCATTCCTGGCCCGAGGATCAAATCTCCTCATTGGGACCCCGAGGTCAGATCTTCCGAAGGAAAACAAGCAGCGAAGGACAGCTTTACTCCAAGCTCCAATACAGGGGCGACTCCGCAGGGGATTTCATGAACAGGACTGGTGACGAGTGGTTCCGATAGTATAAGTAGATACATATGTCTCATGATGACAGAAGTATGGAATTTACAGTGCTAAGGATTCACGATCCAAATCACGTGGCCAGACATGTTCGATGGTAGCTGACATCCTCATGACCGCGACAGAATTCTCCGGAATTACTTCGTACAGTTGCAGGGAACTGAGGTGTCTTCGCACCCAGCGTCTGAGGCCTCGGTTGAGCTTTCCAAGCTAAGTGGGTCCGTCTGGATTGAGATTCCCTAGGACCGGGTGGCGCAACGAATCTGATGAAAATCCGCTCGTAGCGAGTCTAAGAGCCCTAGCGCGTCAGATGAGCCCGACCTGCAATATCACGATCACCACGATCACTATGTAAGGCGGCACTACCGCTTTGGGAGCACTTCCAGAAGTCGCACACTACGTTCACTGCACATCACGACGACACAATATTCACTTTTTTTAACCGCACGAACGCTGACTATAACTGACCGTTGTACTTGAAATGAGTTCTCCGGAGGCGACCTCGATCTATCGCCCAAGACACTATATCGAATTGGATGTCAAAGTTCACTTCCCAGAACCACGTGATCTCGATGATAACGGCGACGCAGATGACTGATCAGATCCGTCGTGGAGTTTCAAGCTTGCTTAATGATTCCTCAACTTTGATCGCGCACGTAGGGATGAATCATGCCGTGAAATGGCTTCCAGATGTTTCGACAGAGACGCTGCAGCAGTGCAAAACATGTTTTCGAAAGCCCGCTTCCGCGGTGATGTGTCGGCTTCATTCTTGATTGATTTCCCAACGGATTTCAAGTTTCATTGCATTGAAGGTAAATGGGACATTGCTGTCTTCAGCGAGATTTTCTGATTTTTCAACATTACTCTTTCGCCTCGGGACCTCATTTTCTGATGCCTTGAACGGCTGGCCTTCAGCTCAAGTCTGTAGCCACGATGGCGGACGGCCTTGGCAGACGGAAACAGATGCCGGGGACCAGGCCGAGGACGGACGCGCATTGAGCAGTCGGTACGAGCAACGCTCTGCAGAAAAGAATGGGCTTTCTCGCTAGCTAAGCGGAATGAGGCTCGAACTGCTTCATTTTACCTGAGTCCACGTTGAACGGAATTGGGCTCGGTACACGGTGGGTTACGCAATCTCTGTCCTAGTCGCCGCGAGACACTTCAATTTTCCTCAAAAGAATCCGCGAATCCACATGGATGGATGGACGTATGGATGAAAGGATGGATGACTTCCCAAGAGCCTTGTGCGTGCTTCTTCAGTCGACGAAGGGATTTGACCCAAATCTTCTTACGGATGGAGCGGAATTGTTGGACGATGTTGTTGGAATCAACTCAAAACGACACCACCTACTGTGATCCTTGCCTATGCAACCCGACTTCAGGGTCTCTCCTGTAGTGAACAACCCCGCGTTGCACATGTATGCATCTTACACGCACTTCTGAATGGAAACGAATCACCTTGCTCATCTCGGGCTGATTGAACGCGGCCTAGTCAGATTTCAATTATGAAGTTTCTCGCTCAAGCTTCCAAATAGCTCCATCGGTCCATTTGAATTTCTCGCGATGCGTAGGTTGACCTAGAGTGTTAAAGCGAGCGCGTTGTCCGTACCTAAGGGACATTCATCGGGAAATATCGGATGAGGAGGCAGCTTGACCTGACAAAATGGCGGCGTCGATTTCAATGCGAACGTTGGCAGAGCCCTGGGACGCGAGCAGCTTTTACGCAGTACGCAGTTCCATCCGAGACAATGAGCACGGGTTGCAACATGGGCTTGATTTCTTTTCCTGTGTCCGACAACACATATGGCACATTCGATGCTCGACAGCTCGTCGTGGCGTCTCTTCCTGGGACGAGTCTTCGACTACGTCACGATCGTCGACGAAACTAGGCCAGCTTTCTAGGGTAGGCAACAAAATTCCGTTGTTCTATCTAGGGGAGCGGCGGTCGCGGAACGTCTCCCTGCCGTAGTCGGATCCTCTTCCAATAGACAAGCAATAGTTCTCTGGAGCAGTTGGTAGATTTCTCGGACAGAACGCCACTCACTTTGGTTTCCATATGTTAGATCCCGATTCTAAACATTCATGTCTGAAACGCCTGTCGAATTCGATGACAATGCAGCTGATGTCGCATGATGCCGATCAATTACGTTGGCGTGCTTGCGGAAACTTGCCACGAGGCGAGATGGAGACTCTATGACGCAGTTCAGGGTATGACGTCATCGACGCTTCTACGCAGTTCCTTCTGACTATGATATCCCGGGGTGGTACGCATCGTTTTTGGTCCGCGGTGAGAATTTCTGAGTGATTTCCACAGGGACATCCGCCGCGAAACCATCAGTAATCCACCTGATGCATAGAAAATCGCCCCTTTCGTCTGCCATACCTAGTTTCATGGCACGACGCCCGTCCAGTGCGATGGAGGTTTCAAGTATAGAAGGCGAGCACGCTCGTCCAAAGGGGTAGGATAAATACCTGAATCCGTCGTCGTTACGAACGGATTACAAGCCTCTGGGAACACAAGCCTATTGTGGCTGATCAAACCTTTGCTGCGGATTTGGTCTCCTCAAGATGGCGGCCTTTTGCAGTTCAGCTCGACGCAGGCACCACACCCAGCGAGTCGTCCTTCAACGAGCTGAGTCGCGGCCCGAAGCTTATATACTACGCGACCCCCTCACCCGCTCGATGACGCATTCCCTGCGGAGTCGGAGAGAGGGACCGGAAAACGAAACTACTCGAACGTTCTCCCATTCACCCGAATTCTCGTCGTGGGCTTGTTTCCACAGAACGATACGGACGAAAGCATTCGACTCACGGGACATGAAATGGCAGAGACAGCTTCCGGGTGACTCATTGTCAGGAGAAACTTGCGGGCTGACGTTTATGGCTGACCCTTATGACTGAGAAAATCTAGAACGTGGGTTCTCAGAGCACGACATCGTGGAAATTTTCCGTCTCGGGTCTCGGCCCATCGGTCTATGCTCAGGAAAAAGAGGTCAATTCAACACCAATGTTCTCGAATTCGGCTCCTCGGTTACGATGGGTAGCGAACGTTGACGCCGATCGGCTTCGTCGTACGGATTCACTGTTCCCGACGACTCAATGATAGTTTCCATTATTCATTTCGAAACATTCGTGCTCTACTAGCGAGTGTTTTCAGTCCACATCTGCCAGAGGTGGAGCCTTCTAAATCCATGAAATCTCTCTGATCGGAACCGGGACTTCTTGAATCTCGAAAATGCTGTCGAAGATACTGGGGGAGCATTTGTCTCGATGGAGATACTCGCCACAACTTCACTACCGATCCCGTTCGAGCGAAATGAGCGCTTCCGGGAAGAGCATGGTGAGGAAACTCGACGCAAAGGTAGGAGAAATGGATCCGTCTAAAAAGGTCCGAAGCTCCTCATAGGGTCCGAAGATTGGCGACCGAATTTCCCATGACCTCTGCATCGAGGGTCTTGGCGAATGAGTCGACTGCGCGATGATCCCAGGGAGCACCTTCGCACAGCTCTCTGCCGGTCGACTCCGCGAGCCGCTGCGCCGCCAGTCGGGAAGCCCCGATCTGATTGTGAGAGGGAGTTTCTTCGCGTCTTGGACTCGCTTCCCGGGCGTCCGGGCCTCTCAGGTATTCCACTTTGAATCGTATAGCTTCGGAGCTTTCGATGCGGCTCTCGAATCGGTTTGAAATCGAAAATGATGAATATTGAACGAGTGGCGATTAGGGCTGTCAAAAACCCGTACTCTTCGAGAACCGTGGTTCACGGGTACCCGAGAACCGAGACGGCAGAACCGCGGGTAAGAATCGAGGAGAATCGCGATTTTTCCTCGCTCCCGTGTGTGTTTGCGGAATACTTGACTGATGTCTCGACCGCCATCTTACGCGAATGAACTGAGACTCTTTAATTTACTTCCGACAAGAGCGAATAAGTTTCGGACTCGGAGGTATTGCTCAAGGTGAAAATGTCATCGTGAGCTTCAGGACGTAAGCTCGCTCTATTCTCCCCCGATATGAAGTGGAGTACGCTGGAATCTCTCTATGGTTGAACGGAGGTGGGTGGGACGGCTTCGAGGATTTTCTTGCACAATTCGAGAGAAAGCGTGCATCAGCGACGTTTTGTCGTCATTCATCACACAGAATGGCTCTCACGGTTCATCATTCGCTTCTGAATTCCGGCGGAAGACGTCGCGCCGGCTCTATCCAGTTCCAGAACCCGCGGGTACTAGGAATCGAGAGAATTTGCGCGATTTTAGGACCGGAAAAATATCCCGGGTACCCGCGGGTTCTGGAACGCGGTGCGGATCCATTGACAGCCCTAGTGGCAATCATTGGGCGCAAAAGCAGCTGGGATTCCAACCGAGGAAGGAGAATTGTACAATCCCCTGCTGCGGTCTCAGGCTTGGCAATGAAGGGTGCAATTCCATGTCTGACGGATTCCGTACCCAACAGTACTTCGAGAAAGCTTGAGGAAGTGCTATCGGAGACGGGCGTGTAATCCGGGAATTGCTTCCTGACCTGGACTGTAGCACCACCCATGTCTACGAATCTAGGTGCGGGGGAGAACTGTACTGAACGAGCGTTGATGTCTGAAGTACGACGGTCCGAAATAGCAGATGGCTTATGGTCATGGTCCCATGGCGAGGTACCATGACACATGGTACTTTATTGATGCCTTTTGAAGGAAGTGGCATTGTAGAAAATTCCGTTCAGCGTCGGCGGAGTTAGGAGGTGAATCCATCTATTCTGGATTACCTCTCTGCAGCGGGGATCCGCGCTCCAAGTCGGCGGAGTTCGTCCCTCTCAGGGATTACCGCATATTGTCGTCGAACCTGCCAAGGAAGTGCGTCGAGAGAGATCGAATTGCCATTATAGAACCTGGAGGGCCGATCAGGGGAACCTCAATATGGCAAGTTTCGTCCCGCAAGGAGTTCAAAGCACCGCGAGATGTTGCTCAGGCGAACACGAAGTGATCCCGGGGGCACTTCGAGCATGACGGTTTCTTTCGGAGCTCTACGAATGTTCTCCTGATCCCTGATGAGACAATCTCCTCACACGAGGTGCTGCTATATATGCACTCTGGAGAAATTAGGATCTAGTTTTGACCTCCGAATGGTGCTCTCGGGTGGAAATCCAGATCATCTTCACCCGTCTCCTGGCCAAATGATGAGGGACATTTGTGTGTCCTCGATAGGGCATGGTACGTGAGTATGTGCCTCGAATGGCCTCTCCCGTTCCAGGGGCCACTGGCTCAGTCGTTGAAGCCACTCCACTAAGGGTCGATGCAAAAATTCATGCTCTGCCTACAATGAGTCGTTCCGTGCACAATCCCAACCGCGTCGCGGTTACCACAACAGCAGCGATAATAGGCCATTTGGTCTCCTCATCGGACACATGGGATCAATAGAATCCAACAAATGCTGCCTAGGCTAAGAGGGGTAGAAATTAGTCTTCGGTTGTCGTACTGTACACCTTGTCGCAGGACTCCATTGCTGACGAAATATCATATTATCTACGACTTTGTATACGCCTGCTCCCTCTCTGGCTTCCTTACTCCCCCGGAATTGATTCTTCACCTCGTGGGTGTGTAGAGGAGAACATTTCTGATGGTCGCGATACGCTCCTCGCCATTCCCTTCATAGCAAAAACCTTTAGAAACCCCGTCGAAGATTTCCACCCTCTCAGCCTTAAAAGGCTCCTCGTACTGCTTGTTGTGCGGAGGTGGAGCGACTCTCACGAGAATTCGGTCGCACTTATCCATCTTCACGAACCTTTTGCTATGACGCCCGTCGGACTGCTTGTTCTGCTGCGACTTCTTCCTCATCCCACCCTCCTCGCTGCTCAATGGATTCAGATGGTCAATGAATGGATTTCGGGTGGTCAATGAATTTTATGGAGTTTTCAATGCCCAAAGTCTTGTTCGCTTGAAGAGTTTAGGCTTCTTCTCTCTCTCAGCGCGAAGCAAGGACTGCAACCAAGAGTGCCACAAAACAAACGCTTATGATATTCTAGAGGCGCCTCCGAACTGCTTCTCCAACCGCCAAGGGAATCCGGCTTAATACTCATATACATCTTCAGGTCCCGGATCAACCATTCTGCTAATCCGTTTGATTGAGGATGGTATGGATTCCCTGTTTGGATCTCGAGAATTCTCTGTTTGGCCCAATCACGAAGCTGCCTGCTCTCGAGAATTCTCGACTTGTCGTCCAGAATCCGCTTCATGTCCTCGAAACCCTTTTGCTACAGAAAGCGAATGACCGCCGTCGCTTTCTATCTGCAAGCGCATGCGAAGGCATGTCGCGTATTCCGGTCGATCCCTGAGATTCTCGTTTTCACCTCAAGCTCTGCGAAGTCCGAAAAATGAAGCCGTCTTTGGCACGAGCAGCATTCCATCCGGCCTAGGACGGATCTTGGCCTTCATTTGGCAAATTCCGCCAGATCGCACATAGCTGCCAATAAGCAATAGCTCGCGTCGTCCCAGGCCAGGTGGGAAGCTTGGCGATTTTCAAATACGTTCTTCAGATACCATCATGATCGCCTGAATGTTGAGAATCATGAGACAGTTCTACAATCCTCCTCCTTCCCTTTTCCTCAACTTGGACTCGTCCCATTGCCAGTGACACCGATGCTTTGACGCAGTGCACCTGATCTAGCCACGACCTCGACAGCGCGTCTGCCTGCTGAATTCTCTATCCTGGCGCAAGTACGACCTTATAATCCCTCTCACTGAGGCTGGCGACCCATCGCCCAATGCGCCGTCTCGGTTGTTTCGATGCGAGAATCACCATCAAAGCACGGAGTTCAATCTTCTAAATCAGCCTGCGTTCATCGCGGAACGAATAGAAACACTCCACAGCCTTTAGCACAGCTGACGCGTCCTTCTCTTACATCGAATAATTCCTCTCCGCCGACGAGAGTGTGTAGGAGTGATAACCGACCAGGTACATCTTCTTTCCCGTCATCGGAGATCCGGTACAGCACAGCGCCCGTGCCCGAATCTGACAAGTCCGTCGTGAGAACGAGCCGCTTGCTGGAGTCCGGCAATGACAACACCGGATCCACCGTGTTCAAGAACTTCAAGCTCTCGAAAACAGTCTGCTGCTTCACTGTCTACTCCGTCAATGGCTTCACGATCTCCGCACAATGCTTCATGAAAGCTCGGAAATGTCCGCAGAGGCCCAAGAGAATCCACAAGTGGGGTGAATCCTCAGGAACCGCAAACTTCCTAACCCTTTCGATGAACTCCTCCTAGGTGTTGTTCCTCGGCGTCCCATCGGGGTGACGCCCACGGAAAACTACGGTCAAGCACGGAATCTTTGACTTATCCCTGTTGATTTTCAGCCATGCGTCGACTGCGCCGGACATTGGTCTTCGGGTGTCCGACTGTACACCTCGTCGTGGTAAGACTTCATTACTGACGAAATATCATCTGCGACGTTGCATACGCCTGCTCCCTCTCTGCCTCCCTCAGTGGAGTTCTTGCAAGGACACTCTCCTCACTGAACACCAGGAGGAACGAACCGAGCCGTGATTATTCAAGTGTTATGTCGTACAGTCTCCTCGTTCATTTTCCGTGGTCCTCCCGATAGTCAGGGTGGCCCGGAAGAATGCTATCCGAGTGATCGAGGGCC